GGTTGACAGGAGAATCTGGTGGTTCACCGTATCAAAAGCAGCAGACAGATCCAGCAAAATAAATACAGAAGATTTGGAGGCCGCTCTTGCCAGTCTTAGGGCTTCAACAACTGAAAGCAAGGCAGTCTCGGTCGAATGTCCACTTCTGAAGCCAGATTGGTTGCTGTTCAGGAGGTTGTTCTGTGTGAGAAAGGCTGAGACTTGGTTGAACATAACTCGTTCAAGTGTTTTTGCAATGAAAGGTAGAAGGGAAATCGGTCTGTAGTTCTCTAAAAGAGTTGGGTTAAGAGTCGGTTTCTTAAGAAGTGGGGTTATACGAGCCTGTTTAAATGTTGAGGGAAAAACACCAGTGTGAAGGGATGTGTTAACGATGTGAGTGAGTGCAGGTACAATGGCAGGAGAAATGGCTTGAAGGAGATGAGATGGAATAGGATCAAGCGGACAAGTAGTAGGATGATTGGAAAGGATGAGTTTAGAGACTTCTGCCTCAGAGAGTGGAGAGAAGGATGAAAACGAGTGTATGTTTGCTTGGTTTCAACAGCCAGATACATTTATACTTGTCCAGTTTCATCTGGAATGCATCCCAGACCATCCCCTGAAGTGGTTTGAGAGATCAGATTTAAATCCATCTCGAAAGCATTTCAGAGGGCATTTACACCTGGGGTCACATTTATAAAACTCTCCGTAGATTTCATCCTAAAAGTGTACGTAGACACAAAAGCTAGATCTTGCGTAAGCTCCAAAAAGTTTTCAGATTTATAAAACCATGCGTACGCCAGAACCTGCGCAAAAATCTCTTTATAAATCCCAGTCAGGGTAAGATTGTGTGTACGTGCATCTCCACCCCGACTCCTCCCCGAAATCACCATATATGGAGATTACAACGCCTAGTTTTACTATGCATAACCTCATCTGCATATCATTTCTATGCATATTCCCATCCACGTGACACCATGTTTAACACCGTCAACGGTACAAGACATTAAGGAATATGAGATACGGACTATAAATGCCATTTGTGCCATACACATAAATCTTTATTGCTAAAAATCATCCGGTATCCTTATGTTTTAGAATAAATATATCAAAATATTAATAAAAAACAGTTTAAAATAGTTCTCAGAATACTGAGTTCCACTGGCCCATTAATATTTCAAATTTTTTATTTTTTTTAATTATAATAAATTAATGCAGTTTTGCTGATAAGGTAAACATCTTTTAGCTATTTTTAGTGGAAAAATATAGGCCTATATTTATTGCAGTGTAAATACAATTATCTGACTCTGAATCTATCATTGACAAATTATTTTAAAAAGGAAACGTGCAAATCTTACCGTTTTCTTCAAGTTGTATCTTTCAGATACAGTGGTATTTTTCATAATGTTGTGGAGATGCCTTCACATGACATCAACACTTCCGTGCAGCTGTGGTTGTACAGCTATTGTCAATGGTCCTATTCAAACCGGACAATACCGTTCCACCAAATCCAGCAGTGTCCGCCATAATATCGACGTAAGTGCGTATCATTGATCATTGTTCTCGCTAAAAATATTTTCTCTTAACATGAGATGTGCAGTTTACTTTAAAGATAAATTATTGTGCACCTACAGTACGCCTCGCTGTCATTAAAACATAACATACCACAGGAAAAGTAATCAAGCGCATCCATTACAAATAGGCTATGTCTAAATTCATATAATTTTGGTTTAACTTCTGCGTAATGACTTTAAGTAATTTCAGTGCTTATCTCCATTAATGAGAGTGGAATATTTAGTGTACATGTTGTTTTACGGTGCTAAATTTCCTACACCTTCTACCTTATTTTATTTATTCTCAGGTTAGGTCAAGCAAGTCAAATCTGTCCTATCTCATAAGCATTCAAATGTTCATATTTACAAAATAGATCACAGAAGACTTCTCCATGGTCTGTTCTGCTCAAGTTTAGAAATCACTTTTGGCAGGCGAGCTTCTTAGTTATAGTTAAGTATAAGTTTATTGTATATAGGTTAAATATGTTACAAACAAAATACTAATATAAAAAACAGAAATAAAAACAAAGATATATTATTTGCAAGCTCGGTTGTTTAGAGGCTTCAATGGCAAGGCCGCCGGCACCGGAGAAGCTGTCACACAGAACCAATAAATTTGCTCAATAAATGCTTTAAAACAATTACAATATAACGTGTGGTGTCTTTCTTAATAAACCACTTTCCAAATAAAAACAATTACAATATAACGTGTGGTGTCTTTCTTAATAAACCACTTTCCAAATAAAAACAATTACAATATAACGTGTGGTGTCTTTCTTAATAAACCACTTTCCAAATAAAAACAATTACAATATAACGTGTGGTGTCTTTCTTAATAAACCACTTTCCAAATAAAAACAATTACAATATAACGTGTGGTGTCTTTCTTAATAAACCACTTTCCAAATAAAAACAATTACAATATAACGTGTGGTGTCTTTCTTAATAAACCACTTTCCTAATAAAAACTATTACAATATATGCGGTCACAATACAAAGGTATTACATATAAAGAAAAGGGCAAACTTGCAATAGGACAATTGCATATTTTCCTCAACAATGTATATGATGAAATGAAAACAGTTTAAAATCGTTGTTTACTTCAATACTTTTCTTTCTCCAGGAAAAAAAGTCCATACACATGGGTCAGAGTTTGCATGCAGGTGTGCAAATTTTCCTGTCAAGTTTGTTTTTTATAAATTCCACCTTTTGCGTAGGAAGTGGCGTACGCCTCTTTCAGGGCAGGCTTTGTGCGTACGCAATGGTTATAAATGAGGCCACTGGTCTTTTCGCAATCGGATTGCTATCCGATCAGAGAAAATGTATGAAGTGACCAGGTGTAAAAAAAACCCAGCTAAAATCAGCCTAAGTTGGTTGGCTGGTCTTGGCTGGTCTTAGCTGGTTTAAACTGGAAGTAGCTGGTTTTATCTGGTCTCCCAGCCTGGCTAGGCTGGTCAAGCTGGTTTTAGCTGGTTGTTCCATCTGGTCTCCCAGCCTGACCAGCTAAGGAAGTGGCCAAAACCCCTCTAAAACCAGCCTGCTGACCAGCTAAGACCAGGCTGGATGACCAGCTAAAACCAGCCAACCAGCTTAGGCTGATTTCTGGAACACAATGGCCAATCAGAGTTTCAGTTAGTCAGAATCCACTCACCGCTCAAAATGCAGAGTTTTGTTCAGTCCTAAATTCTGGAAGCTGTGAATCCTCTCATTATAATAAACAGTAATCAAATGTAAGACTGTTAAACATGACGTTTAGTTTAAAACGTTTTTATTATGATTGCTTATTTAGGAATTAGTATGTTAAATGTTTGAATTTTGAGCAACGAGCTCTTAGGCTGCTGATGTCACAGAAACAACCCGATCTCATGGCAATTCGTACATATCTTACAAGGTGGCTAATTTTGCAAAATTTTTGCTGAATCGTATGTATATTACAAAGTTCCCCAATTAGTGAATTCGTACAAATGACCTACACTTAACCCTGCCTCTAAACCTACCCGTCCCTGAGGTCTAGACAAATCGTACAAGTGAGGTAATACAAATTAGCCACCTCGTAAAATACGTACAAATTGATCGTGAGATAGCATTGGACAGAAACCAGAAATCAAGATGACAATGTGATTAATAGCAGACTGAGTTAAGGACCTATTAGCTTGCACCATCTAGAGTTCCATGAAAGAACTTTGTATTTAAAGATGTCTTAATTGTTTAGATGTCAATAGTGCATTGTTTCTGAAATAATATGTTATATTTCTAGCTCGTCTGCCAGTTGCTGTCATCACCAGAGACTCTTCACAGTGTTCTTCATCATCTGAAAGACCAACAAACCAGAATTGTTCACTGCTGTGTTCAGTGTTGAATGTGAGTGATGTGACTCTCTCCTGGTACAAAGGAAACAGTTTATTGTCCAGCATCAGTGTATCTGACCTCAGCATCAGTCTCTCTCTACCTCTGGAGGTGAAATATCAGGATAAAAACACCTACAGCTGTGTGCTTAACAATCCCATCAGCAACCAGACCAGACATCTGGACATCACTCAACTTTGTCACACTTGTCCAGGTAATTCAACAGTAAACAGAATTTCTGTTTCATAAAATATATATATAGTCTAGGTGATATGTGAAAATAATGTTCACTTTTTCATAAAAGCATGAAACTTGAGTAAATCTGGTATATTTTTTATAAAACCTTTGTGGTTACTGACTCTGTTGATATCTTAAGTTAATTAAGAAAAGAGAGAAACTTTTGGGTTAAACGTGAAAGTGTTTATAGGAGAAAAGTAATTAAAAGACCTTTAATTTCCTGTTACAGTGTAAATATTACTGCTTAAATAGTGATTTAAAGAGGGAAAAGTATTTCCTATAATAAGCTAGTAATTACACCCACACAAGGCAAACACAGATAATTTATTAGAGAAACCTCACTTATTTGATTGGATATATATTTAAAGAATTCAGGATAGCCACCTCTCATTATAGTTTAGCACACTAGAGAGGCGCTACATAAAATGGAGGCACCGCTGGGATGATTAGTGTGGGTTTTTTGTTTTTACATTGAAAATGAGCATTTTGAAGCTTTAAATTGTGCTAATTGATAAGCTAATATGGAATGTATGAAAGAGAAGTGCCAAATCTGTCTGCCAAGGGTCAAGTACCTGGGGCACATCGTGTCGGCAGAGGGAGTTGCCCCAGATCCAAACAAGATTGAGGCTGTCGCTGCATGGCCCATGCCAACGAACCTGAAGACGTTACAATCTTTCCTAGGATTTTGCGGTTATTATCGCCGATTCATACAGAACTATTCTGAAATTGTTAGACCGTTGACTGAACTCACCAAGGGATATGCTCCAACTCAAAAGAGAAAGAAGTATGCCGAAGAGGTGAACAAAATCTACTTGAAAGAGTCGGAGCCGTTTGGGAAAAGATGGAACCAATCCTGTACCGATGCGTTTCATCACATAATTCACTGTCTGACACATGCACCTGTTATCCTACTCACATTCCTGGAGGCGTAATAAAACCAGTGATATCATGATTAGTTGTCATGGTGACCAGAGGCCTGTTCTGCCTTTCTGAGGTGTTAGGTGCATTTCGGGGGAAGGGTCCATAGACCCTTGTAATTGGCCATTTGGTTAAGTGAGGGGGAGTTAGATATTATTTGTTAAATATAACAAAAAGTTGTGTGTCTGATTGGTCCAAATGCTACAGTAGACTTGTATAGTTTGCGGCCCTAAACATTTTCAGAAATGGAGCCATCGCAAAAATACCTTGTGGTTGCCATGGCGACCATTTTACTTTCCGCCATTACCAAATTATCTCCTGAACCAAACATGATAACACAGAAAAGGTGTTTTTTTTGTGGTCTTTGGTGACTTCGAAATCCATCTGGAGAAGCCTTACACTGAAGACTTCCACTTCCACTCCTAGCTTCATTCGATCTCAAATGGCTTACCACCACAAACACTAACAAATCAGGCAACCAGCTTGACTTCATTTACACATGCAATTTTATCATAGACAACATTTGGTAAAACCTCTAGACATCTTTGCTCATTTCTTTATTACATTAACCTACATATTACTACCTATGTGCCACCAATTCCTCTACCAGTTACTTTTAGGCAAAATCTACGCTCCTTTTCACCCTTCCATCTTTCCTCTGTAGTGTCATCCTCTCTTCCCTCACCCACCCATTTCTGATCTCTGGATGTAAATACAGCAACTGGCACTTTTTGATCCACTTTAACTTCTTGTCAAGACAATATCTGTCTAGACAGGCCAGTGCATACTACCCCAACCTAACCTAAAAATTTGCCCCACGTATCATCATCTTTACGGTATTTTTGCTGAGCAGTCTTTTGGGTGGCTCACCAATGTACTAGATTTCTCAAATACAAAAAATTAAGTAGGCTTGACCAAAATTTTTGTGGGGAGAAGAATTTATTGAATATAGTGTAGCGGTTCTTCAATAGTGATGTTAGCATGTCTTCCTTCAAACAATCTTAACCCTTGTATGAATCCTAGCTTCTCCCAAAGTTCTGTCTGTGGGATATAATTTTACCCCCCGAAGACAAAAGGGCTAGAAACAACAGATACTATTAGGACCTTCCCACTGCAGATCATGCAATCTACAAGACGTTCCTGAGAAATGCTGTTCCTTTGTTATTCTAATAGAATGGACCATTCGGTTCACACCTTTATAGACACAGTTACATTATTTCTGTCATGGAATGACCAACTGAACTTTAACCAATCAGGTTTCAGCAGTGACCATTCAACTGAGACTGCTTTACTGTCTGTAAGTATAGCCCTGCAGATAGTGAAAGCTGATTCCAAATCATCAGTTCTTATTCTGCTGGATCTATCTGCCACTTTTGACACTGTGAATAATCAGATTATCCCGACTGCCATCACCAGATCTGCACTCCACTGGTTTGAATCTTATCTCACAGGTAGGTCTTTCAGGGTTTCCTGGCAGGGGCGGATCTAGAAAATAATTTTTAGGGTGGCAAAGGGGTGGCATGTGGTCTAGGCATAGTTTTTGGGGATTTATGGCATACACAGTTGTGTTCACAAATATTGTATTACCATTAAGTAATCATCTATACCAGGGTTCCGCAATAGGATTAGTGTATGGTTTTGCAGATTTGGTGTGTGCTTCTGCTGTTTGAGTGTCAGGTTTCAGAAACTGTGTGACAAGTGAAGATTTTGTGTGTAAGCAGTTGAAAAAAACTGTAAATGCTTAAACACAATTCAAATACACAGATGACTTTCCTGCCCAGTGAACACTGAGATCAATAACACTGTAACAAAAGCTTACTAGGATTCAAGAATTATTTTTGCAGCTCAATGTCTATTACAGTATACATAAATTCAATTACAGATACAGATGTATAATTCAGCAATTAACTTTTGGGGGAAAAATCATTTTAATTTTACTACTGTAAAGTATTCTTGCAGTAGATGAAAAGCACTAGAAAAGTTCACATACCAAAGAATTGTATGAACTTGGCTTGCACCACAATACAGTACAGTAAAAAATAAAAATTTAAATTTAGCATCTTCTGCACATTTGGCCAAACTTCCTTACAGTATACAGTACTATAGCAGTTTCTTGGTCTCCTGACACAAGACTAGCTATATTTATAGGCAGTCATTTCTCATTTCTCGATGAATCTCAGACATGTCCGGACGGGATTAGATTTCTCAGAAGACTTCTGAGTTACCTGAAAAGCTGTAATTATCTTGATTCACGCACAAATGTAAAAACTATTTGTTAGTGAACTGGGCCACGCTTTGTGGGTTTGACTCAAAAAGATACGGTTCATAAGAGTAATTTGTTAATGAAGCCGACTACACTGGCATGCTGCGTGCGTGTGCAACCGTCGTGCACAGTTTATTAAAAGACGTGTTTTTGCCATTATTTTTGCATTACTCTGTCATTGCCGCGGCTGAAAAGTAGCACATGAAACACTGCTTACATTTATATTTTATTCTGTGATAATTCTGGGGTGGCACAGCTTTTTTTTAGGGTGGCAGTTGCCACCCCGTGCCACCCCGGTAGATCCGCCCCTGGGGAGGAGAGGTATCCAAAGAACATCAACTGGCCACAGGGTTTCCTCAGGAATCAGTTCTTGGACCCCTCCTCTTCACCATATACACTACACTGATAAAAATTTTCTGCTCGATTTACGTAAAACATATGATGAATTTTTTTGCATAAATTTATTATGTAGATCAAACAAGACTAGTCTTTGTAAAAACTACTTAATTTTTCTGTCTGTTGAAAGAATGTTGACACATAAAGTAAACTTACTTTTAGTATTTCTTTAGTAATTTTTTTGTGTGTGTGATCTACATAACTTTAAGAGTTCTAAATGTGTATTTTTGTGTATTAAACTTAATTTTTTAATTTCCATGTTCCAAATTTGATTTGACAAATTTTTGATAGTAAAACTGACAGGGTCAGTATAAAATAAATAAATATATATATACCTAAGAAGATTGGTTGGGATTACTTAGATACATTTTGTAAAGGAAAAAAAATGCAGATTGTCTTGTATTTTGAACAAATGCAGATTAATTCAAAACTAGATATATTAATGTAAAGACAGAAACTTAACATTTTATTGTTAATATCACAGATTTAATTATGTAACATTTACATCCACCCAGATACATTTTTTTCAGTGTACATCACTGGGACCAAATTATACAAGCAAATGGTTTCTCCTAATATTGTTATGCTGATGACACACAGCTCTATCATTCATTTCAACCAGACAATCCAATAGCAGCTGCATGGATCTCAGGCTGCCTGGCAAACATTGCGACATGGATGAAGGAACATCACCTGCAGCTCAATCTGGCAAAGACTGAGCTTCTTGTTTTCCCTGCCACTTCGACTCTACAGCATGATTTCATCATCCTTTTAGGTTCATCAAAAATTATTCTTTGACGACCAGCTGTCCCTCAAGGACCATATTGTAAAGACAGCTTGATCATGCAGGTTTGCATTGCAGAACACCAGGAGGATCAGGCCCTTTCTAACGGAGCATGCTGCACAACTTCTTGCCCAGGCCCTTGTCATTTCTAGGCTGGACTATTGCTATGCTCTTCTAGCTGGACTTTCATCATGTGCAATCAAACCTTGAAAAATGTTTCAGAATGCAGCAGCACGACTACTCTTCCATGAGCCCAAAATGGCCCACGTCACACCTCTCTTTATCCCGCTGCACTGGCTACCGGTTGCAGCTCGCATCAAGTTCAAGACATTGATGTTTGCATACAGAACAGCCACAGGCTCAGTACCCTCCTGCATGCTAACGTTAGCTTCAAATTACACGAACTATCGTCACTTGCTAAATTACAATTAAAAGTAAATCCACGTACAACAACGTTATCTTCAAATTAAATGTAAAGCCTTTTTGTACAACAATTCGAAAACTAAAGACTATGGTAATGTACCAAACATCTAACCTTACTTTGATAACTTTATTCTTACCTTGTTCAGTCCGCGTGTTCCTCTTCGTTTGGAATGTGCGGGGTTTC